GAAAGATAAAAGGAAAACCTAGTCAAAATTAGGGTTAGCACAATTTTGTACTCCATAATCGTCAAATTCCTACCGACACACATTCTACCTCCAAATCCAAATGGCAAAAATCCCATTTTGTGATTGCATCCTCCATACATATTATCATCCTTAAATCTTTCTGGTTTGGATTCATTCTCGCTTTGTCCCCAGAGATTTTGGTCATGGTGAATCGATACAACATCAATCCACATGTTTGTGCCATTGGGAATTACGAGGTTGTCCACTTTGATGTCATGTCTTGCTTGTCTTTGTACGTTAGGAGCTGGAGGGTATAAACGTAAAACTTCATTCATCACCCACCCCATCTGCATTAAACATAAAACAAATAAATTTAAGGCTTATAATCATAGAACAAAACTTGGGCTATGTTCGAAATTTGATATGCTAAATTAGAGCACTTATTTTGTGTTTTTAGTGTGAAGAAAAAATGTTCGAGGAGACTTGCAAGAACTATAAAGAAGTCATAAATAAAATCTTTTAAATACATAATAGCTTTCACAATCCGAGTTTTAAGAAGTACCGATAATTAAAATTTTATTTTATGTTTAATCATTTTATCTAAAGCTTAAATTATTAGGGTCTCGCGTGCATCTAGTTAAATTATCGTAGTACAAATAATTTAAATTTTATCCTAACTTCTATTTTTTTTGTAAAATGTCTCACGAATATATAATTTCATATATGGGTGATGACAAGACTTGATCTTACGTCCTCAGTATGTATTTGATATTCAGTTGAATTATTTAGAATATGTTTGGTTTAATTAAAAAGTTGATAAAAATATAAGTTAAAGAAAACAATTAATTTCAATGGTTCCATTACATTTCATCAAATTTTATCATAATCTATTAAAAATCTTAACTTTAATGTGAATTATGTCATTTATAGATGATATAACACATGAATTATACTTACGAGTAATAAGTTTTCTATAGAAAATGTTTTTTGGAAGTTTCTTTATTTTTCCATTATCTAGTTTGGCTACATTAATCCTTTGTTTGGTGGTCATTTTTTTGGAAAAACATTATTTTGAATTATGAATTTTTGCAGAATATGTGATTAAAAAGTAGAGAAAAATTTTGAATTTACGTGTAAAATATTTTATTATATGAATGTGATTGAAAATGAGTACGTAGAATTTTTTTTCTTTGGTGAAAGAATGGGAGGCAAAGCAGGTTAAGGTATTGAAATAAGTCAACATGAATTAATCATGATATTGTGAAAGGACAATTACCTTCTTTAGTCCTGCAATATTTGCTGCATCGATTTCTTCATTTCCAATCACTTCTCTGATTTCTTCTCTCAGCTGATTTTGCCACTCAGGGTGCTGTGCAAGGAGGAGCAAAGTCCATGTCACCGCCAATGCGGTGGTTTCATGGCCGCCGAAGAAAAAAGTTTTGCACTCATCAACCAGTTCCCTGGTGGTTAAGGCCCGTTTTCCGAGACTGCTGTCCACCATATTATCTGCTAGCAGTAGACCGAGCAAGTCTTGCTGAGGATGATGCCTTTTGCTGGATTTGCTTCGAGCTGTGATTATGGATAAGAGGAGGGAATCGATTTCCTTACCAAGTTTTTTGGCTTTTAAGGTTTGTTTAGGGTTCATGAAGTTGCTAAAGGGTACCCCTACGTAGCGGTTGGACTTGAAAAGAGTGATTTGCAGTTCTCTTAATTTCTCTAACACTTTTCTTCCATTTTCATAACTCATGCCGAAACTTGTTTTTGCGATGATCTCTCCACCTGTGCTTATGATTTCCTTCTCAACGTCGATTTCTGGCTTGCTGGAGTTGATTAGGTGAGTCCAGCGGTCCAGCATTCTCGTCACCGACTCAACCATTAAGCTTGACATACCCTATCAAATTAGAGCTAAGTTTAAAAAAAAGGAAAGATGCTAGCCTCGAATATCAAATTCCTTATTGTAATTCAAGTCTCGTCGCTAACTTATGTAGATGTGTGTAGAATGAAAGCATGTTATCAAGAAAGAACGAGTTGTGAACAAAATTGCATTATGCCATTCGTACACTTTTTTTTTTACACGTTTATTGATATTTGCATTATTATCAACAAATAATTGAATAAAAAACTATTTTTTTAAAACTATCCAATTGAATAATATTGTGTGGCAAAATGTAAACAATGATGTAAATCATGAAGTAAATCAAGCATGATTGAACAAAATTCGTCATGTAGGATTAAAGAATGTACAAATGTTGCTTTCATGTACAAATTTAAAGGACTTCTCCATATTGATAAAATGGTTGGTAAGAAACTCAATGGTATGGTTAGAAAAGTTCATTTTCCATTTGGAAAGATTTTATAAATGGTTTAATTTAGAAATGGATAAAAATGTGTGATGAATAAGTGGAAAAGTATTTGTACGCCTATTAAAATGTGTGACACAAAATAAAGTTTGTTTAGGCCTTGTTTGGGAGGGATTTAAAACGAACACTAAACTTTGATGAAATAAATGATTTTTTAGGGATTTTTTTTTTGGCAATGGAAACAAATTTTATATCTAATTGTGGAAAAATTTATCACTTCAATGGACAATTTCCATATAAAATAGAGCCAAACGATTTCCGGTGAAAAATTATACCAATCAAACACACTTAATTAACAATTCCATGTGAAACAATTTCTAGACAATTACTTTCCCCGTAATTCATTTTCCACCATTACAATCAAATTGACCCTAAGCCTATGTTTGGTGGCCATTTATTTGGAAAAATATTATTTTAAATAGTGATTTTTTGCAGAATGTGTGATAAAAAGTAGAAAATAGTTTTGGATTTACGTATAGAATATTTTATTGAATATTTTATTGTATGAATGTATAGTTAAAAATAAGTATGCAACTTTTTTGTTTTCGAAAGAATCGGAGACATAAAGCTAAAGCATTGAAATAAGTCAACATGAATGGATGATATTGTGAAAGGACAATTACCTTCTTTAGTCCAGCAATATTTGCTGCATCATAAAGAAGTAAAGGTTAGTGAAGAGTGATTTCTTCTCTCAGCTGATTTTGCCACTCAGGGTGCTGTGCAAGGAGGAGCAAAGTCCATGTCACCGCCAATGCGGTGGTTTCATGGCCGCCGAAGAAAAAAGTTTTGCACTCATCAACCAGTTCCCTGGTGGTTAAGGCCCGTTTTCCGAGACGGCTGTCCACCATATTATCTGCCAGCAGTAGACCGAGCAAGTCTTGCTGAGGATGATGCCTTTTGCTGGATTTGCTTCGAGCTGTGATTATGGATAAGAGGAGGGCATCGATTTCCTTACCAAGTTTTTTGGCCTTTAAGGTTTGTTTAGGGTTCATGAAGTTGCTAAAGGGTACCCCTACGTAGCGGTTGGACTTGAAAAGAGTGATTTGCATTTCTCTTAATTTCTCTAACACTTTTCTTCCATTTTCATAACTCATGCCGAAACTTGTTTTTGCGATGATCTCTCCAGCTGTGCTTATGATTTCCTTCTCAACGTCAATTTCTGGCTTGCCGGAGTTGATTAGGTCAGTCCAGTGGTCAAGCATTCTCGTCACTGACTCAACCATTAAGCTTGACATACCCTATCAAATTAGAGCTAAGTTTAAAACAAAAGGAAAGAAGCTAGCCTTGAATATCAAATTACTTATTGTCAATAGATCGTGAATTCAAGTCTCGTCACTAACTTATGTAGATGTGTGTAGAATGAAAGAACGTGCTGTGAACAAAATTGCATTATGCCATTTGTACACTCTTTTTTACACCCTCATTGATATTTGCATTATTGTCAACAAATAATTGAATGAAAAAACTATTTTTTTAAAACTGTCCAATTGAATAAATATCATGTGACAAAGTGTAAACAATGGTGTACACCATGATGTACATCAAGCATGATTGAACTGAATTTATCATGTAGGATTAAAGAATGTACAAATGTTGCTTTTATGGTACGAAGATTACAAATTTAAAGGACTTCTCCGTATTGCTAAAATGGTTGGTAAGAAACTCAATGGTATGCTTAGAAAAGTTCATTTTCCATTTGGAAAGATTTTATAAATGGTTTAATTTAGAAATAGATAAAAATGTGTGATGAATAAGTGGATAAGTATTTGTACGCCTATTAAAATGTGTGACACAAAATAAATTTTGTTTAATTTATAAATGATGTACAAATTTATTAAACAGATGCTTAGTCTATCCTTAATAGAAAAAAACGAAGTTTCTACATGAAAATACGTAAAAGAAGATTATACCTTCAAGTTGGCCGGAGAGAATGCCGGAGTTATAACATGTCTGCGCCGGACCCAGTCTTCGCCTTCAACCATTATAAGACCATTACCAAACATTGGTTCTCTATCGTTCTTAAAAACAGTTGGCTTTCCCCAACTTTTTGCTGTTACACGAGCACTCATTTTCTTGAGAAATTCAGGATCTGCAATGTATAGAAATGGCTCTGTCCCTAGCCAGTATATATATACTTTCCCTACAAAAGAACAGAAGTCTCTGAGATCAGACATTAGCAACAAAAAATCCCGCCTCTTAAACCACAGTATTTTGTAGTGAGTTTAGTGCTGTCGAATTTACATTACCCACAAATGCATACACACTTATATAAACGTGGGCTTACCGTGCGATTTCTGCCATCGGACGAAGTATGGAAATGCAGCGGAGTGGATATCATGGGATATGATTCTGGAAGATGCCTCCTTTTTCATGTCATTTAAATTTCCAAAAGGGAAACTAGGTTTTGGCCCAGAAAAGCCATTGGCCTTAAGCTTTTTATATGCCAAATTAGGTAATATCCACCAAGAAAATAATAATCTCCCCATCACAATGGCAGCCATGGCCACAGTAATACTTGCAAAATATTGAAGTGACAATTCCATCTCTCTCTCTAAAATCCTGTGTCTTGTGTATCAAAGTGGAGAGCAACAAGGGGTATTTATAGGGACAAAAGAAAAAGGAGAATGTAAAACATTGACCAATGAAAAAATAGATTAAAGTTTGGTCACACTTCAAAACGGCTGATTTAACAGAGTACACATAGCTGGCACATTTTTCACACAGAAACTCCAACAACCCACATAGCCAAATCATGTTTTTGATTGCATTTTTCTTGTCGGAAAAATTTGTATATTCATCGTTACGAAATATTATTTCATGTTTTACTACATAATTTTTAAAATATTAAAAATACTGTTTTGTATATGAAATATACTAAAAATTACTTATATCTAATGATAGAGCACAATTGACTTTTTGAAACCGAAATGTTTTGAATACTACATTCTTCATGCCTTCCAATTAACACCTCTTACAAAAAATGAAAATCAATTCAAAAATCTGAGATGGGTAAAGAAAATAAATGGATTCCATTGCGTGAGATACATATTATATCTTGCGTGAGATATGTATGAAGATCAATTTGTGATATTTTTTGGATGGAGACGATTCACGTTCTACAGTGAAATGAGGAAGATGACAATGTGAATAATTTCTTTGATTTGTGAGATTTTAAAATATATTACATCTTGCATGAGATATGTACGAAGATCAATTTGAGAGATTTCTTTGGGGGATTTTGGATGAAGACTATTCACTTTCTACAATGAAATGGGAGGAAGATGAACAAGCGTGTTTTTAGGGCTTTCTAGATAAGTCTACATAAGGGCTTGTTTGTAGGATTCAAAATGTATTAGTTGTAAAGACGTGTTTGTAGGAGTAAAATATCTTACCTAATTTATTATTCATTTCATTTAGAAAATCTTCAATGTTTTCTTTTTACCATTGTTTTATAATATTTATTGGAAAAAAAGTTTATAAAGTATTTTTTAAAATTAAGTATAATGTCTCTTTAATTTTCATACACATTATGGAACGGTCTTTTCAATCGAAATGAGAGTCCCAACCTAGTATTTCTAGTGATGCATCTAGTTCGCCATTGGTTATAGTCTGGCACACGAGTTTGCCATTGATAATACAAAAAGTATTGAGCTCATTTCATTGTGGATGATCTTGTGTCTGATCCAATAAAACATTTTTCTATCGAGTCATAGTTTCACGGGGTGCCTTTCTTCTTAGCACAGAAAGGGATAACGTGCGGCAGTAGTCTGCTCCGTTAGAAAGTAGTCTGCTCCGCTAGACTACCTTCTGCCTTTTTTCGGTCGTTTCGGGACGAAAGAAAATTTGATTACAATTTTTAGAAAGCTTACATTGAAAGTAAATTAATCATTGATTGATGAATGTGAAAATTACAATTGATGAAAGTAGAAAAATACAATGACTGGTATATGGGGTGAACATCAATAAACTTGAAAGATTTTTGAATGACTAATACCCCCTATAATAGCTCGTGGAAGAAAAACTTAAGTGATAGGAATAGACATTTAAATAACGAGGAATAATACTAAACGTTTACAAATATCAGAGCTATTTTACAATTGAAATAAGCTATTACAATGGAAAGGAAATTACAACTCAAACTGAACTAATATTTACAATCTGCGGCCGAAGTTAGGCAAACTATGGCTGCGATTGGGTCAAATGGCTAGTTGAAGCTGCAATCCTACATTCTCCCCCATTTGTTTTGGCGACAACCTGGTACTCTCGATGCATGATATTTTTCAATTAATGGTTTGAAGGCTCCAAGGTCTTTCTTTATTTCCCAAGTATTCTCATCGCTGCTGCATCCACTATATTTGACCAAGTACTCTTGATGATATTTCCTGAAAGCTCGAGTAGTACGATGATCCAGTATGATTTCGGTAACCTTCTTTCCAGCTTTTCTCAGATCAAACACGGGTCGTTTCGGCTCATTTCTGGACGCGTCCTCATTGTCTGCAAATTATGACTTAAGTACACCAACATGAAGGACCTTGTGGATTTTACACCATGAAGGGAGTGCAACTCTGTACACGACTTTTCCAATCCTCTTCACGATGGGTAATGGTCCAATATGTTTCGACATCAATCTTGAGTCTTTCCTTCTTGTCGGTTTATAACAATTTGTGTCTGAAAGTTTGACCAAATTGTATCTCCAACATTAAATTCAAGAAAACGACGCTTTAAATTTGCAGACTTCTACACCGTTTCTAAGCTTTCTCAAGATAACTCCGAACAATTTCAATACTCTGTTTCTACTTTTGAGAAAAGCTTTTCGCTTGAGGGGATTTGGTACTTTGATCGATATCCACAGTATGAGGGAGTAACGGTTGTTGGCCAGTCACAATCTCAAAAAGACTTTTATTGGTAGAAGATTTATTTTAGTAATTGAAGCAAATATGAGCCGCATCTAAAAGTTTCACCCAATTTTTCTGCGAAATAGGGATAAAGTGTCAAAAATATTCTTCCAACATAGAATTGAAGTGCCCCGTCTGTCCGTCAGATTGTGGGTGAAAACTAGAACTCATGCTCAAAGTTGAACCAAGAAATTTGAACAACTCGGTCCAAAATATACCAGTAAATCGAGGATCCCAATCACAAATGTTGAACCAAGGAGTTTGAACAACTCGGTCCAAAATATGCCGGTGGATCGAGGATCCCGATCACTGACGATGTCTTTAGGCAGTCCCTAGTATTTGACAATAGTTTGAAGAAGAGTTAAGTCGTCTCTTCAACTATACATACTTGGGCGCTGCGATGAAAGTTACGTACTTTGATAGAAGGTCTACCACGACGATGATAGTGCCAAAATCCAAAATCTTCGACTTTTGGCAATCCAACAATGTAGTCCATCGGTACACTCTCAAATGGCCTAGTTGGAACTGAAAAGGGTTCAAGTAAGCCTGCCTTTTCTGATGATTTATCTTATATTGCTGACAAATAAGACATATTTTCACATAAGTTACAACGTCGTCCCGTATTTGAGGCCAGTAGTACGCGCGTTATAATAGTGCAAAAGTGCTTTCCTCTCCAGGATGCCCTACCCAAATTGTGTCGTGACATTCCATAATTAGTAATTTCCTCAAATCTCCACCATTGGGAACATATAGGAGGTCACTAGGCCCCCATCGAGCCAGAACTGATGAGTTTTTCCCCACTTGATGAGGTCGACCAAATATTGAGTAGCCGGGTCCTTATCCAAAAATGCTCGAATTTGGTCCCTTGTATTTGTCGTAATCGTGCTCCCTAAAAGAGTAGCCATAGAGCAAATGGTGGCTAAGTCGATTCGAAGACTAAGAACATCGGCAACATGATTCCTAGATCCGGGACGATACTCCAGCATAAAATTGAACTCTAAAAGAAGTTCCTACCAACGAACCTGTTTGCTTGATAGTTTCGTTTGGGATATGAAGTGACTAATTAGAGTGTTATTTGTCTTCACAATAAATAGAGACACAAGCAAATAGTGACGCCATTCCCTGAGGCAATGGACTACCGCCAACAACTCCTTTTCGTACGTCGAGTAACGACGTTCTGCTTGATTCAGATTTCAGCTCTCATATGCTACCGAATGTCCTTCTTGCATGAGGACTCCACCAGTACAAAATCTGAAGTATCTGTGTATACTTTGAATGGTTTAGTCATATCTGGTAAGGCTAAGACCAGGTTCGTCCACATAGATTTCTTCAATTTTTTGAAAGTATTTTGGCGTTGGGATAACCAGTCTCAATCTTTATCATTCTTTGTTAATTCCATAAGTGGCAATATAATTTCTGAGTATCCTTTAAGAAATCTTCAATAGTAATTGCATAACTCGAGAAATGAACGTACATCGTGGACATTCTTTGGTGGTAGCCAATCTTTGATGGCTAGTACCTCACCCGACTCAGTTGATCGAAGCAATCTGCGACCAGTGGAATATGATAACTATTCTTTACAGCGATCTTGTTCAATACTCGATAGTCGCAGCACATTCTAAGAGAACCATCGACCTTTTTCTGAAACAATACGGGAGCTCCATATGGTGATTTCACAAACACAATCCCACTTTTCAACATTTCTCCCAATTGTTTCTGCAGCTCTTCAAGCTCCGGATGAGACATACGGTAGGGTGCCCTGGCGGGAGGTTCGACACCCAGAATAACTTCAATCTCATGATCAATAGCCTTCCTTGGTCGCAATTTCTTTGGTAACTCATTCGACATGATATCCTCAAATTCTTTAATAAGCCTCCTGACAGGTTTTGGAATATAGCCAGTCGCCTCTTCGATCTCCTCTAATCGAAGAGTACACAAAAATGAGTGTTCATTCCTTTTGAAACCCTTACCAAATTACATAGTCGAGATACTCTTATCGTCCATCTTCTCTACTTATGTAGTAATGACACGCGATTTACTATCCATCATAATTAATGAATCAGAATATGGCAACACTGTTGTCTTAGTATCCCAAATAAATTACAATCCTAAATAAGCTCGAAGTCATCCATCTGAATTGCAGACAAGTTTGTCCTTCCCTCGAAAGGACCCACTTTGAGCAACACAAATTTCGCTATTCCAACTATTGGTTGAGCAGGGAAGTTGATTGTTTTGACCTTTCCACTACCTTTTTCCATAACAAGTCCGAGTCGCTCCACTTCGGTACTCGCAAGTTAGTTGTGGGTAGCACTAGTATCTACCATAACCCTGATTAGCTTTTCACTGATTTTCACATCAATGTACATTAGGCATTTGGCCCTACAAATGCGAGCCTTCGATTCTTCCATATTTACCACTTTCGAGGGAACATCACAATTTCCAATTCCTTGGTGCGATAGTGTATTGCACCGAGGTGAGAATGCCCAAATTATATCTTCATTCTCTTCTGAGTAAGTCTCGCCAAGACCTAGCTTATGGGACATCTTGCTTTGAACTCATTCCGCCACTCGCTAGTTGACAATATGCATTCACCATTCATTTTTTAGGACACTTTGCCACCCGATAGGGTCTCTCACATAAAAAAACAC